TTTGTTGCACATTCATGTTCATGTATACATCTGTCTGCGCTGATGTGTGTACATGTAGAATGTCGGGGTTATTTGTCCTTTTTTTTTTGTTCTCTTTACTCTTGCTCTATATAATTAGAACAAAAGTTTGTGCCATTTTTCAATACGTGGCTTCATTTTGTCACACAAGATTGAAATTCATTACTTATACATATTCAGAAAGTGCACATTTGAACATGTCTTTCTATGCAATTCAAGTAGAATAGTTTGTAAATTTTAAAATATCTTTTCAATATAAGTGAAAAGGAAATGCATTTTCCTCATTTGATTTTTCAATTATTTCTGAAAAGTTAAAAATGCTCTATGCATCTCTATGGTGATGATGCCATAGCTGAGATTATTGTCTTTAAGTGCTTTTCTAGTTTCAGAATGGAAATTTTGATCTGGGAAACAACATTCCGGCACACCTTCAGTTGTCAATGATGATGACCAAATTGAAATGTTGATTTAAAAATAATCCATGTCGCACAACATGAGACCGCATATCTCCTATGTGTTGTAAGGCATTTGAAAACACTTTAATCACTTCAAGGTTTAGTTGCCTCATGATTTAATGGAAAAAAATGTTATTGAACATATTTCCATCTGCGATTCTCTACTCAAATGCAACACATTTAAAAAAATCCAATCACAAGTGATGAAAAATGGATTGGTTACAACAATGTGAAGTAATAAAAAAAAATCTAGAGAAAAAAAATGAGCCACCATTAACCACTACAAATCTGGTTTACATCCAAATAAGACAATGTTCTGTATCTGGGGTACTGCTGGTCAGGTTAAAATAAATCTATTGAACTAAAATTGAATATTGAAATATATATATATATATATATATATATATATATATATAAATAAAACACTGCTGAAATACTTCTGCATTAATTCTCATATAGTCTTCATCCAACATAAATATAAGTACAGATTTCTGAATTTTTGTGCAGGAAGGGAGTCATTAGTTTAGTTTCATTGTTAAATCTCTATCTCTGCAGCCCAGCTGTTTCTCATAACTCTGAAAATACTAAACTTTGTTCCTCCCCTTCTTTTTCTCTATTTCTTTCACTGTTTATTTTTAAGCACAAAATCCATTTTGAATTTTTCGTGAAATTTTAATTCAAATTCGTGTAGTCAGAAGCCCAGTCACCCTAAGGTTATTACGTCATATGTTTTGGTCATCAAAATATTTTCATCAGTAACCACTACTTGCATAAATAATATAAGGAACTTTATTTTGTGCTGTTTCAGAAAAAATTTATTATTAATATATTTCGTCTTTAAGGTTCTCAATATTATTAAAGATTTTTCCTGTTCTATTTTAAATTATTTTTCTTGGACAGTGTTGAGTATCTTTGCCAGTTTTGAAAATAATGACTAAGATAAATATTAGCCTGCAAAGCAATTATTAACTTTAGACAAAACACTTTTTTGTAGAAATATGTATATTTCTACAAAAAAAAGAGTTTTAAACAGTGGTATTTCTTTTCCTTCCTGTCTTTTTTCTTCCTCTCTTTCTTTTGCTTCTTCCTCTCTTTCTTTTGCTTCTTCCTCTCTTTTAGTTTTCCTCTCTTTCTTTTGCTTCCTCTCTTTCTTTTGCTTCTTCCTCTCTTTCTTTGCTTCTTCCTCTCCTTCTTTTGCTTTCCTTTTTTCTTTGCTTCTTCCTCTCTTTCTTTTTTCTTCCTTTTTTCTTTTGCTTTTCCTCTCTTTCTTTGCTTCCTCTCTTTCTTTTGCTTCTTCCTCTCTTTCTTTTGCTTCTTCCTCTCTTTCTTTTGCTTCTTCCTCTCTTTCTTTTGCTTCTTCCTCTCTTTCTTTTGCTTCTTCCTCTCTTTCTTTTGCTTCTTCCTCTCTTTCTTTTGCTTCTTCCTCCCTTTTAGAGTAACATTATCATTCTTTTTATTCTTGCAGATATATTATCAAATTCAATGATGAACAGCAATTTGTTGACATTAAGGTTATTTGCTTTGTTAGAGAATTCCTTTATTTACTTAGAATTGATTTTGTTTAATATATAGATGCTTATTAGAGACTTTTTTTTTTAATAATCAGTTCACCCCAAGCAAAGCAATAATTCCACTGGGAGTGAAAGAGAGCAAAAAAGACTTTAGAAGGAACTGGAAACCAAAGGATAAACCTCTACTCCTTTTCAAAAGACCAGGGAGGAGTGTGAACCGGATGTGATAGGTGAAGCTGTCTACTCCTATTGGGGAAAAGAATAAATAAATAGTAAACAAAATTTGTGAATTTAAGATATGGATTGTCCACATTTCTCCAAAGAAAATGTTAGGTAAAAAGTCCCCCCCTCCCCATCAATACTTGAAAGAGCGATAGCAGTGAAATTGTGAAACCAATTTCCTGAGAAATTATTTTAATAGAAAGATTTTATAAATTTCATCTGAAAGTAGCATTGGTAATTTGGTCTATGAATGAATGGCTAATATTATCATTACCTTTCTAAAAATATTTTTTTTTTCCTTAAATTCTAAAAGACAGCCCTCATATATGCTGTAATTATGAGTCTATAGTAAACCAAAGAAAGGACATTTCACAGGAATTAAATTTTATTTCTGTCTACCTGTTTATTTTTAGACTCATTTTTCACATGTCATCACACACAGACATGCCAAGAGGCTAAGATGACATAATCGTTGAAAGAGATCTTAAAACTAAAATATGTACTGCATTCATCAAAGGCTTTTGAAATGAAAACAATAGGTTTTTAATAGAGAACTTGTCATAAAGTCTCTTGTCATATTTTATTTCAGCATGAATCTTTATTAAACTCTTTTCACCATTTATATAGATGTAGGTACCTCCTCAAAATCGCTAAAAAAATAGCATTCCATTATGAAAAAATGCTCCAAACTTAATGAAAACAAAATTTTATTGTTGAAATGTTTGTCATCACTAAGAGGAAAGATGAAAGTATTTTTGAATATTTAATTAAATTTTTTAATCTTTTTTAGAACATTCAAAATTTTGATTAAAAATATTGCATCAGCAGATGTACTATAAATTAGCATAGCAAATTTTAGCAACTTTTTTGCAATGCAAGACTCATTAATTTTTAAATTCTTGCAAAAATCAAATAATTGTTGGATTTTAATTAAATTTTCAGGTTTTATTCACAAATGAATGGAATTATTTTAGAAATTTTAATGAAAGATAAATTTTTACTAGATTTGCTTTCATTTTTTTGCCATTTTTAATTAATATAATTTATCAATGATGTAATTCTTAGGAAATCTTGTTATTGAGTAAAACTATGTTTACTAACCATATATTGTAAGGCTTATTACAATCTGATAATCCCAAATATTTTTAAAAGAATTTTGAATTGTTTTTGTAGGTGTATAAACGTGTTAACTTTTGTAGATATGGTTGCCCATACATGATATTATCAGAAAATAAGGGTGATAACTATAGTAAATTTAGAACCAAAATTCTGTAAAATATTAGATTACAGAGAATACTTTTTTAATAATAATAATTTTTTAAGATTACTGAGGCCTTTGCATTATATTTGTCAATTATTTACAAACAAAATATCATCATGTTAAAAATGCATTTCTGCAATATTTTAAACTTAGAGTAAATAATATTTGTTTCAAATCAGTCTTGTACTTTAAATCAGCTAATATTCCTCAAATAAAATTTCAGAAAAGTATATTTTATTTTTGTAAGACTTTTTTAATAAAGTGATTTACATTTTTATAGGTTTTCTAAAAATATAGTGCTGAATATAACATCAATGAACTAAGTGACAATCATTATTCTTTTTATATATATATATATATATATATATAAAGAATAATGATTGTCACTTAGGTCATTGATGTTATATTCAGCACCTTGAGTTTCATAGACAATCCATTTTGTAATTGTTCAGTCTGCTCATCAGTAGATTTCAGCCATTGACTGCTGTTTTTCTCATTTTTTTGTTATCTTTATACTTAGCTTGATGTAATTATGCATTTATTGGTGTTAGGTTGATTTTTTTTTTTTTTTTTTTGCCTCCTCTTTTTTCTGTGTTTCTTTGTACATGTTATTCTTATTTTCTCCTTTTCATCATTTGCCTGTCTCTTTATACTCTCTCTCTCCTCCATATTCTCTTCCCATTTTTTGGCTTTGTCGGCAAAAATAATGTAACAATATCATTTCCAATGTCATAGACAAGACTTTCTTTAGGTTAATTCATTTTCTTAAATTTTCTGGGATTTTCTTATTTTAAGATTATTTGGAAAATATAGGTATATTCTGTTTTTTTATTTATTTCTTGTTTAAGTAATTTATTAATGCTTTAGCTAATGTTACTTTTATTATACTAAAGCAAATTGATAAACTTAAGTTAACCCTGACTTGATTTGAACCATCAACTTGGAGGTCAAGTGATATACCAATATGCCAAAAATACTACTGATGAAATATTTGGGTAAGATTAGTTTTGAAATAGGTAAATTTTATTGGCTCTTTTTTTTTTATTTTTTTTATGTTTGCAATCAATTCTGAGTCACATTTTTTTTTCTTTCAAATTTTGATGTATTAATTTAAGACAAAACTAAATTTAATATTCTTTAAATATTTATTATATTTTAACAAGACAGCCACAGCATGGTTTTTGTGGTAACAATTTTTTCTTAGATTTTTTTCTGTTGCCTAAGAGAAAATTTTAAAAATGTAAACATCCAACTAAGTAACACACTTAATCAAAATAAGTGCTGCATAATTTGTTGCATAATAATAATCAGGTTTTTTTTTTTTTTTTTTTGGTATTCAAGAAAATCAACTCTGAGCAAACTTGTAAAAAAAAAAAAAACTTCAAACAAAAGTCCTGAAGTAGTTATGCTTGTCAATTAAATAATATACATCGTTGTCTGCTATAAATCATTTCATCTCAGTAATAAACAATTAATATTTTTCAGACATACTTGGAACAAACCAAAACAAAATTCAACAAAAAATACAAAGGAATGAACCAGAGCAAAATTACCACCACAGTTGGACTAAACAGTGAGTATTGCATTTAAATTCTAAGTCTGACACAAGGCCACAATAACAATTAAAATAAAAAACTTTAAAATCTCCTGGTATGGCTACAAATAGAAATATTTCTATTTTGATATTTATTTAAAGTGTTTTACATGAAGAGACTTCTAAATTACCTGTTTTTGTTCCTTATTCACTTTTACAATTTTGTATATTGATATTTTTTATTATTTAGTAACTTTTATGAGTCCTATATTACTTTTGTAGATTATATCCATTTTTAAAAAAAAGGTTTCCCTAAAATAATCTAATAAGTAAAGCCTATTTGTATCATTTTCCTATATTTATTGGAAGAAGGGGCATGATTGGAGAGGGAGAGAGAGAGAGAGAGAAAATATATATATATATATATGCAAGAGAGGAGTATGATTTAAGAAAAAGTGTTTGACAATGATTTTTTCTAGTATCACGCTTTTCTCTTAAATGTTGAAAAATATTGGACGAGTGTGTATATTATGTTATATATATATATATATAAAAGTATATATACACACACTTGCATATCTTGTGACTTTTGAAGACCTAATTTTGAAGCTAATTTTAAGGGGGTTGCATCATACATGAGATATAAGATTAGCTTATGAACTGCTCACCCTGGCTACACCATTGACCAAACTATATACCCATTTACTGTAGTCAAAAACTACAGCTGTATTTAAAATGAACATGATTTTAATAAAACTGATATTTTACTTAACTGTACACAATAATAATGCTTGTACTATTCACATTAGTATCATGTTATAAAGTACAAACATAGCGAATATGCATCTGTTCCATTGTTTAAGTTTACAAGATATTTAGCTGTTTCTCGTTCAGTTGTTTATAAGTGTACGCATTTACACAACAAGTATAGTGTTACGAATGATACTTTTATCAAAACTTATTTAACTAGAAGATGGGATAAAGAGATAGAGGAAAAGGGGTTAGTCTATTTGGTCTCTCAAAAAAGGAACTTTAGATACATGATAAAATTATTTTTTAAAGTGAAAATTTGGGGATCCTTGATATATTGTTGCATTCCACAAATATGTACAGTATATGAATAATATTAATATGAATATATATTTATATAATTATATATATATATATATATATACATATATATAATAATTATAAAATAATCATGATATATATACTATATTACAAAAAATTTAAATAAAGTTTTATGTGTGTTCTTTTGTTCCATTAAATGAAAACATTAAATTACCTAGAAGCAACTTGGTATTTACAAAATTTTTTGTTGATCATGTTATTAAGCAAAATTATATAATTTCTGGATATTTCCTTTTTTGTCTATTCCATTGTTTACTAGCACAAATTTGTACACCGTTGATATCAAGATATTTAGCTCTTGTTCCATTGTCTTTTAGTATTTGTTAATAAATATACTGATTGTTGGTTGATGCCTAATATATCAACCCACAGACACTCACTTATTTTGTATTTTTAACTTATTTTGGTTGTTTTTTAGAATTACAACGTATTCTAGAAGATTGGATAAAGACTACAGAAGATTCACAAAGGGTTCATTATCGATGATATATAAAAGGTCCCTCAAAATTAACCTCATCTAAAAAATAGACTTTAGATACATGCATGACATTCTATTTATTTTTATATAGGGAGCCATCACCCAAAAAGTGTAAAATCATCCCCTTTCCCTTTAAAAACATTTCCACAAAAACTCTATTTGCTACCCCCACAAAATGATTTCATGTAACTTCTCTTAACGGTCAACAAACTCTAGCATTGACTTAACGTAACATTCCACAAATATGTACAAAAATGTATATGGAACCCAAAAACATTCAATAATTTATAACAATAATATATAAATATATATATATATATATATATATATATATATATATATATATATATATATATATATAATATATATAATATATAATATATATAAATAATAATATATAAACACAATAATATATATAATAATAATATATAAATAATAATAATATATAAATAATAATAATATATAAATAATAATAATATATATATAATAATAATATATATATAAATAATAATAATAATATATATAATATATATATATATATATATATATAAATAATAATAATATAATATATATATATAATAATAATAATATATATATAATAATAATAATATATATAAACCTAATAATAATAATAATACATGTATATTTTTTGAATAAAAAATTCCAAGAGGATAGAATCCAGATAGAGCTCAATGTCCAGGACAGAGTAAGGATATATAAAGGTATGTGGGTACACGCCTAGGTGTATGTATATACGTGTATATGATATTGTGTATTCACATGTGTTTTTGAACATAAAAATATAGGTCCTTGCTAGATTAGATAATCGTTATATTTATTTTTTTATATGTGTATTTTTGATTTGTAACCTGTACAGTCACTTTCTCCCTGTCGATAAATTAATTTTGTCAAATTTTCTTAATTCCCGCTCTCACAGCAAACTCCTAAATGTAGCCGTCTCTCTACTTTCAGTAAACCTGCCCCCCTCAGTTTTAGTTTCCCCAGTTGCCCCCTCTTTCTTCTTTCCTTTCCTTTCCTTTCCCTCCCCGCCTCCTCTTATTCTGATCTTTAACATTAGATTGTCTATATTGTGTGTGTATGTCACCATAAAAAAAATGTATCTTAAAAATGTATTTGTCCATTTCAGACATCCAACAATTATTCATATTATCTCTCATATATATAGGTGCATACACATACAATATTTTTTGAATAAAAAATCAAAGAGGATCTTCCTCATAGAGCTCTCCAGGACAGAGTATGATATATAAAATTCTCTCTGTTAAGGTTTCATCACCCTCCTTCTCTTAGATAATCGTTATATTTATTTTTAGCTCTAAGATTCGTCCCACAGCACTTTCTCAATGCCCTTTTTACATCTCTCTAAATTCCTTCTTTTCTTTTTTATTTGATCTTTAACAGATTGTTGTTTTTTCTGTTTTCTGTTTTAGAATTTGTAGGTCTGATGAATTGGATCACCTCTCCTAAAATTCTCGTTATTCCCTCCTTCTCTCGTCTGATGGAATAAATTATCCTACCATGGAATATTAAATGTTTAATTTCCGGAGTTGTTTTTTCTGTTTTATTTTATATATATATATATATATATATATATATATATATATATATATATATATATATAAAAATTTATTTAATGATATATATATATATAAATTTATTTAATGATATATATAACTTTAAGCATTTTGAGTAGACCCTCTGTTACTTATTAAACAGTACATTTATTTTTATCTACCAGATATACAAGAAATCTTACTAAAGAAAAATATGCGTTTCAGTTCAATTCAATTATGCACCTCCTTTTGGAGGATACGCTTTAATAAATAAACTGAATGTCTACATAAATATGGCTATCCATTAAAGTAATATTTAATAATGTGATATTATCTGTCAGGTTAATAAATAAAAATCTGTTACTTTTTTAGAAATATTTGTGAAATTTCAGATATGACTAAAAATATATCAGTAAAAGGCCAATATGAATAAAGACAAAACTTAGCCAAAACGTTTCATCCTCTAAGTTAAGTTTTCCTGTCTTTATTCTTATTTGTGTGTGCGTGTGTGTAGAGTAAATGAAAGCCCTTGATTTCATTTTATGAAAATGTAATTTGTGTAACTAATACACACACCTGTCAACAATATATTTATGAAACAAATGGTTGAAGCAGACCCTTAGAAATGTGTACAAAAAAAAGTAATGAATAAAAATACTATAAATAATAAGTCCTTATCCTTTCAAGAGTTTTCCAGAATGTTCCAACCTGGTGTGATTGTAGAATAGATTAGTCTAAATGTTGTGATTATAATAAAAACAACAAAAAAATGCGTTCAGTTATCCAAACAACTCTTGGAATGAAATTAATATATATATATATATATATATATATATATATATATATATATATATATATTATAAAATTATATTCAAACAAACATGAAACAGACTGTCGCCACTCGGTGTTGACCTCTGTGTCCACTTTCATAACTACATACATTAGCTTCTTATAAACAGTCAAGTACTTTCCCTAAATTTATAACCTATCATGAACATTGAAAAATTTAGCCTCAACTACTACCTAAAGAACATACCTACCTATTCCACAATCAATTAACTGGAGATTTTCTGTCAAATCTGAAACCATCTTCAATAAAGCCAAAAAAGATTATGAAAAAATAATGGGTTTTTGGCAGCATTCGCATGCACACTACACAGTACAAAAAAAAAGCAGTAAGAAAAGAAAACCCCACCATGCAACAAAAAAACATTAAAAGAGATGTGGGGAAAAAATATTCATGAAACACATGCACCTCCCTCCTCATGCACTCTCCACAAGATATTCAACAAAAAGAGCTAAACTCAGCTACAGTTTTACTGAAGACATGACGCAAAGAATCAAAAAGCACAATAGAAAAATAACAAATAAATCACTTGCACAAATCAAACCCACCTGTAACTGCAGATGAAAGCATAAATGTGCCTTAAATAGCAATTGCTTGAAAAACAATATAATATAATAATATAATACCCACTGTAAAATCAACAGATAGTGAAGAAAAAAAATTTAAATAGGGGTAACTGAAGGATCCTGGGAACCAAGAAACTATGCCCACAAAACATAGTAAATACACAAACCATTACTAAATGTGAGGAATAAAAAAAATCACACTATTTCTGCTCAATAGTGTCTAGAATAATTTGAAATATAATTGTTACCAACTACCCATTACTGTTAGGATAGTACTGCCCAAAATGCCCCATTAACCAGTATATATAAATAGTTGAACCAATACTCAACACATATGGCCTGAAGATTGCATTAAGCAGATTGTCACCACTTGGTGTTAACTTCAATGTACTTACTTATATATATATATATATATATATACTTCATTCAGGGCATTTGAAAAGTCAGTGCTAAATTATTTCTGTTCACAGTTTATATTGATGAATCAGAGCAAATCCTATATTTGTAACAATTAAAAAGACAGACAACTATGCCACTCTTTATTTCTTTTTTGTTAATATAAATTTGTTAAATAATTAAATTTTTATTTAAAATGTGTGTGTGAAAATGTTACTTTTTATGTTTATACTGTTAAATTGCTTTTCATCACTGTTATCTGAGATTGAAGCTGTCAATTGGGAATTTCTTATTTTCAAAGGATGTAATTCATATAGTTTTATACACAACTGATGAATAGTTTTGTACCTTTTAAAAGGTTTTGTTCATAAGGCAGTTTTAAAATATAAAAGAATAATAGTAACTCTGAAAATCATTCTTGTAGTTAATCTGTGTATTAATCAATTTCTGGTATGTGGTCAGGTCCAGTCTTTGAACAAGACATAAGGATACAGAAGGTGCTTATCTTCCTATGGTTGCGATAAGTCATGTGGGTCATATGACGGATGCATAGTGACATCACTCCATGATGAAAAAAGCAGTAGCTAAATACAGTTAGTTTTTCAGCAGTTAAACTGTAAAGTTGCTTTCTTTAGCCCAGGCCATGGGGGCCCTGTCAGTGGCCAAATCTGCCTCCCCAGTAGTTTACAAGTCTATAGTACTGTTTCCCTTTGGGAATATATATTTCCCCGATATAGAAAGAAACTCCAGCTAGCAGTCCTCAATTTGAGAAAAGCTAAGACTCACTGTTTCTCATTCATGGAATATGTCCTCACCTAGGACATAGATGAATCCGATCTTTTTGGATCTGGAGTCCTAAACATGGTCTCTCCAGTTACAGGAATATCTCCATATTATATGTAAGACCCTTCCTTTTGTTTCTTACACTTTGCTTTGCTGTGTAGATATATGTGATGTAATTTCTCTGCATGGGGCATGTGTATATATGTATATATAGTTTTGTGTATGTCTTAGTTATAGAAAATTCTCTCTGAGAACAAAGTATATTTATCATTCCTTTTCCTTTCAGTCATTCCATTCTGTTTGTGAAATATGGTATTATAGCATGGATATAATAATGCCTATAATGAGGAAGAATAAATCTTTCTACCATATCTCTCTCCTGTTACAAAGGTATTTAAAAAATTAATGACAACCTGGTAGCTAGAAAGACATATTTCTAGTGAGCATCTCTCCATTCAACTAAAAAGAATGAAATGGAGAATATCCAGATGTCTGCTACAAAATCCAAGAAAATTTCCGGATAACTCCTTTTTTTTTTTCTTTCTTTTTTTTTTAAAAAAAGACTTTCAGTTGTGTATTGTATGAGGTAGCACTACAGATTCCCACACACTAAATCACCACGTGTCACATTTTGCTATGGCGGAGTGACAAATACTAATATATTGCCTGTTTTATAGAATTACTTTATTCCTTTTATCTTTAATTGATATTTATTGTCACACTTTGATTTAATCTTCTTTTTTTTTTCTTTCCTTCTCATCTATTAGTTGGCAAAATCGATATCAGCAGTGTCCGATTAAACTTCTGGGACCTTGGTGGTCAAGAAGAGCTTCAGTCTCTCTGGGATAAGGTAAGTTCACTCTCTTTGGTTACTAACATTGAGGAAAAAGGCTTTTGTCTTTTTATATTAAACACATTCAGGAAAGGGGACAGTTGTAACTGTGTATCAACTCTTGAATTTATTCTAACTGCCAACTTCCTTGCCTGAGGACCAAATTCAAAAGAATTGGGAATTCTTTGTGGGACATGTTTAGAGTTTAGGGCCCTCAGTCTTTCTGATTAATGAATTTAATTTCTCGGTTGATCATTTTCTTATTTTCTCCTGCTATTCACATTCTTACTTTATGATCTGATTGACTCACTTCTTTTCTGCTTTCAGACAGATATAGCTAAAAATATCTAGCTATCATATATAAGAAAATGATATATATAAATTTCAGTATACCAGAATGCATTAGTTTCTTGCCATAATGAGACTGACCATAATTTTAATTTAAAAACCTGTTACTTTAATTAAAAGCAAAACAATTAAAGTATAAAAAGTCCTTTAATCATGAGATCATTCACAGTAAATTTGCATCCGGTTTCTTACAAATTTTTACCTTTCTTGGCAGTTGTTCAATTATCACAATGTGGGATACTTAGATAACAAAAGCAATTAAAACTAAATGAAATTGGTTAGACTATATAACCAAACACATATTTTTTTTTAAATTTTATTTAAAAGATTGAAATTTCACCCTCTCTTTCATCTGCACGTGTAGCTAATTCTGGATAAACGTCACTTTAGTTTTATGATGCATCAAAGGACAAAACATGTCACACAAAAATTTTTTCCACTTTGTTATTCATTTTCCTTACACATACATACATACACACACACACACACACACACACACACACACATATATATATATATATATAAATACAATTTTAATAGCTCGAGAATGCTCAAAAATTAATGACAGTATATGTGTAGAAAACTGGAAGTCAAAATGGCTACAATTGAAAGAAAATAGGAAAAAGAAAGAGTTAATTTTAAGGAGTGAGTGTAAAGTGAAAAAAGCAATGGAAAGGACAAATACCTGTGACATTCTACACATATGCGTAGACTGGTACATGTATGAATGCACACATACACTATGAAAAAAAATTTGCACCAATGAAAAGTGCATATAAAAAGAAAAATCAAGAAGTATAAGCACTCAATTGCTAATACACTCCTGACGAATGGATGGAATGATTCACAGAGGGCCCATCTATGAAACTCTGGAGTAGGGATGCTGAAGGTAAAATCAATCAGCTAAGTGACAAATCTTTTACTTGTATTAATTCTCTCTCTCACTATATATATATATATATATATATATATATATATACTAATTTTGTGAACATATGCCTGGATCCCTTGGACAGTTTTTCACTGGCTGATCACTTTCTGCCTCATGCCGTGGTTTGATTCCTACTTGTAAACAAAACTGGGAAGAACTGGCTGAACAAAGAAAGTGGAGACAAAATATCACACAGGGATCAAAAATACATCTGTCTCAAGATATCACCTTAGTAAGAAAGACAAGAAGTTTGTTGGTTCCAGTAAATAGGTTTCTTTATTAATAGATTAGTTCACCTGACACAGTCTGTGGGCAGGTAAATGACATTTGGAACAGCTTCCCTGCTACTTCTGTCTTTCTCTCACAACAGACTAATGGACCAGATCTTCCTTTCAGCCAGTGAGAGCTCCATATCTCTTTTTAAACATGACTGCCTATATCTAAAATGCAGCTTGGCTATATATGCCCAAATTCAAAATTCATTAACCTCTATCCAAGTGTTACTTGATACTTAGTTTTATTATTTATTTATACATTTCCTTTTCCTTAGTGATGGACAGAGGGTGCTTGTTCTAAAAGTCTTTCATCTTTAATTTATTAGTAATGTAATTGAATGTCATAAAAACACTAATTACTCCAGGTCCTGTCTCTTGACTATGTGGATATCCTAACCAACTGAATAGGGACGCATTGTGCCACAGTTCAACATTTTCTAATTCTGTTGCTTCTGTATTGGTAATATTTCTAAAATTATCAAAAATCCTCATCTGAAACAAAGAAATTATGGACTTCCTTCATCTGAAACAAAGAAATTCAAGAGTTTCATAAATAACAATCATTCTCCTAACAGAAACCTGAAGAAAAAACAGATGGAATGGTTCTGGACTCTTCAGTTTCTTACAAGCAAGGATTGAATTGCCCCAATTATGTAGCAATCAAAAAAAAGCTAAATAGAGTTATAAAATGTCTAGCATCAGAGACTATGGCATTAGCAGTATCTTAGATGCAATGGTTCAAGTTTCTATCCGTTCCTCCAAATAACAATCATTCTCTAACAGAAACCTGAAGAAAAACAGATGGACTCCTAGTCTTCCATCAGGAGCTTCACTTGAGTCTTGGTGAGTTTCCTTACAAGCAAGGATTGAATTGCCCCAATTAAAAAAAAAAGCTAAATAGAGTTATAAAAAGTCTAGCATCAGAGACTATGGCATTAGCAGAAGCAGCAGATATCTAATAGCTGCAATGGTTCAAGAGGTCTTCTATCCGTTCCTCCAAATAACAATCATTCTCTAACAGAAACCTGAAGAAAAAACAGATGGACTCCTAGTCTTCCATCAGGAGCTTCACTTGGAGTCTTGGTGAGTTTCCTTACAAGCAAGGATTGAATTGCCCCAATTATGTAGCAATCAAAAAAAGCTAAATAGAGTTATAAAATGTCTAGCATCAGAGACTATGGCATTAGCAGAAGCAGCAGATATCTAATAGATGCAATGGTTCAAGAGGTCTTCTATCAGTTCCTCCAAATGACAATCGTTCTCTAAAAGACTTTCTCAATATGTCACATGTTATTCAAGGGTTGATGCGACAAGGATGAGAGAAAGGCTGAATCGAAATGAAATACATGTAAACTGGATAAGGAATGAGGAACAGTTGGCAGAAGCACTGACAAAGGCAGGAACCTCTTTAACAAAGTTGCTGGAAGTATTTGAAAATGCCAAACTGCTTTTGTAATTTGATGTATATAGATGTTGTTTTATTGTAGAGAAAAAAAAATTTATTTATGTTTGCAGAAAGGCATCAATGTTAATGACTTAATTACCTCCCCTTTTATTCTAATATCAATATATTCCTTTTCCTTTCAACCATTCTGTTTTGTTCATGAATTATTGTGTTGTTATATAATGGATATAATAATGCCCATGCCGAGGGAAGCGTAAATAAGAGAAAAAAAACCTTTCTTCTATAACTCGCTCTCTCTCTGTCAAGAAAGACCAGTAGTGACCACGACACTATCTTATTGACCCAACAGATGATACACTATTTACATTATTCAGACTATTGTCCTCATCTTGGTCGCCATATTTATTTAATATGCTGACCAAGATGAGATTATGGTGGCAAAAAGTAAAAGTAATAAGAATGAAATAGTGTACATAATACCTCATCTCAGAAATATAGACAGATACCAACAAATGATATTATCACCCATTAGATTGATAACGACTCAGCTGAAAATGATAGAAATCATTGAAAATATTTCTCTTCTGTCCTTGCCTTTCATCTAGATTTGTTTTTTGTTCTCTGCTTTTCTATTTAGGACGATTTTTATTTTTTAAATTGTTAAAAAAAGTAACATTTATTATAGTCTTCAACAAAAATTCCGTTTTCTATATCTTAATGAAAAATAAAGCTGAAATGAAGTTGCTACAAGATTTTTAGTGTTTGCATTATGTTTTATCCAATATATATTAAAATTCAAATCCAACTTTTGACATTTTTTTCTCTCTCTCCTTTTGAGGCTGAGATGCACTTGTAACAAATGTAGTTAACCATCTGACTAACTTGTTCTTGCTTTGAATTTGTGATGAAAAGAGAAAAAAGAAGAGAATTTTGATTATTAGTTTCTTTGGTTTATTGTCACTATTTATAAATATACAGTAGTTTTTACTGTTTCTCTGGTATGAACTAGTTTGTGTGAGGTTGCAAACAGAAGTCAGGACAGTAATTCATATATAGATCTAGACAAAAAGTAGAATATATTAGTTGTTCAAATCTCTGGATATAATTTCTTGTTTGTGTGTTTGAGTCTATTCCCAGAAATGACTCCAACACGCAATCTGTTGAGTCCATGCTTTTATAATAGTTGATATGATCCTAAGGACAGCTCAGTGCAGCATTTTTCTCAGTGGCAAGAATGATGGCTTGTTTTGATGCACTTATTCCTGAAAAGCGAGACAATGTGTGTGTTCTGGGTAGGAGTGTTATCGTGACTTAAAGTGGTACAGATTTCTTTTACAGCTTTAAAATAAAGTATTTTCTGAGATTACAGTTATGGTGGCAAAAAGTAAAAGTAATAAGAATGAAACAATTTTGTTGTTTTTCATCATAGTGCCAAGTCACAAAAAAACAGTCAAAATATTATCTCCATATTATAAAAGAACAGTCTCTGTCTCTCTGTAACTTTGCACATGTAACATTTATGCATTTGTTTTTGTGCATAAGTTACTTAACATGTACTTGTATCATTTAAGGTATACACAAGTGCATGTATGTGCAATTTGAAGACATTGGAATAATACCTTCCTTGTCTACTCAGTCTAGACAACCCCTACCCTGAGCCATGCAATAAAATCAAAAATTTGGAAACCCTAGTTTTTTTTTTAAAGCCTAAAAAAATCAGATAATTACAAAATTTTATTTGATGTTTCAGTAATGAATAAAATTGTTTTTAAATTTTTTTAGAAATATTTTTCAATCTTTCATTGAATTAAAATATACATGCACAGCCAATTTTGAATGAAATTAAAATTGACACCTGTCACAAGAGCTAATTTCTCTTTCTAACAAACACCTGGTGACAGGAAAAGAGTATATGTTAAAATGTTTAGCCCTTTTTAATCCATTCTTTGTGACACCTGTCAGTAATTTTTGACAAATGTAGGATTTTAAATGAATGAATTATTTAAATTTGAAATTTGATCATCTTGCCATCAGTAAATGACATGGTTTGAACTATCTTTATTAAAAGTTGACTGTCACACGATTTTTATGACAGGATTTGGATACAAAATGATTAAAATATGTAGACATGATTTGGGAAAATGTCTTTGATGTTGAAAGGTTAAATTTTAATTTACATTTTGAAAGTTCAAATGAGTCCCTAAAACAGTGCAAGACATCTAATTTTTTTTTCTTTGTACTTTCTTCTTACACAAAAAGATGTTAATTTTAAAATCTCAGATATTTTTAAAAATAATTTAGAAATTGACTTTCTCCGTGAATGAAATGTATTATTTTGTCTTTCAGTATTACGCTGAATCTCATGCTATCATCTATATTGTGGATTCTTCTGACCGAGAACGGCTTGAAGAATCCAAAGAAGCTTTTGGTATGTAAATTCTTTTTGACCATTTTAATCTTCATTGAAAATAATTCCTTTTTAATTCTCATCCCCAATACAGTAATTCCTTGATTATCCAGACCTTACATAAAGAGAAAAATTAGAATTATCCAAACATTTTTCAATTATCCAAACTAAACTTATTCTAATAATTTATCTCTGACAAGAGCATTGAAGAGGGAAAGGAGAGTACTGTTATTATTTGTGTCAAAGTTCAACAGACCCCCTACACAGACACACTGCCCAATTTCAAATACTAAAGCAATTATTATATCTGACAAATGTTTGTCAGTTGAGCTTTCAACCAGAAGCTACCCTTACTAACATATGTGGCATCTTGTTTGTCTCGAGAGACCATGGATATGCACCCAAAGAGCTATGGCAGTGCTGCCATCAAGCATGCTTCTCCTGAGCAGCAAGCCTCTGTTTCTCCTCTCCTCTCACACCTCTTGATGTCCATGTCCATCACCCCCATGTCCCTTTTGCAGACATCCTTGAAGAGAAGTTGAGGTTTCCCTCTTGTTGGTCGCCAGTTCCCTGTACAGAAGGACCTTCTGAATCCTCCCATCTAGCATACAGTGTACATGTCTGAGCAAGCAGAGCCAGTGTTGTTGAAGAAGGGTATACAGGCTGGGTAATGGAGAACAGGTAAAAGCTATGGCATTGGTGAACTGGGCAGACCAATTGATGCCCAGAATGTGTCTCAGACAACAAAGATAAAAGGCGCTGAGGCATCATTCCTGTCTGGAGTAAATGCTCCAAGTCTCGCTTCCATAGAGAAGTAGGCTAATGATGTGTCCTCTCCAGGGTGCAGGCCCGGGCAGAGTTTTATGTGAGATCTGCAGTTGCCCATGCAGCACATCTCTCCTCTCTACACCACTGATGTTGTCCAAGGGAAAAGTAGCAGCCAATACAGCTTGGCACTGATGTCATCGCAGGTGTTGCCAGAATGAAGTTGAACATAGCCTCAGGCTCAGGGACTCCAGCTTTGGATTTGTCCTCTGGGGTTTACTCTTGAAGCCTTTCCCATGATTGGGTATAACCACAAGGTGGCTGATGTTTAAAATCTGTTTTCCTTCTCTTCGATGGACTACCCTCCGGAGCTGACAATCTACCCAAAACCCTTACAAATACATTGATTATAATATAATTTTATATGCCTAATGTTTTTACTTCTTAAAGTGCCTTTTATTTACATACTATGTTTAATTTTGTTAAATAATATGTTGGTTTCTTTCAAAATGCTAAAAAAACTTAACTGATACATTGTATCTAAAATATTTTCTATTCTGATGCAATCATATCTGGTAAAATTTGAATCTTTCTATATGACTTCTATCTCGATGTTAGTGTTTTTTTCATTGGCTGAATTGTTATCAGCAACAACTGTTATTTTCCTTTCTTCTTTCTCTTTTTTTCTTTTTTTTTCTTTTTCTTTGTATTAGTTAATTTTGCTATATTACTCCTTTGTTTTTCTCTTTCTTCGGAGAAGCAATGATTTTTTTCATGTTTTCTTTTCTTAACTCTATTTCTCTTTTCTTTTTTTTTTCTTTTATTGATTTCTTATCCTCTTCTTTTTTCTGCTTTAACCTGCATATATTATTATTTTTTCTTTTCCTTTTATGGAATTGTTTATATATTTCTTTCTTTTCCTTTGTTGGAAATTCTTTTTAAAAATGTAAAAAGAAGTGATGTTTCATAAGTAGCATTTTTAAGTAAAATAGTTTATAACCATCTTTGTTCACCAGCTGATGAGATGCATATATTTAGGCATTGAAACAAATAGGCATCTTTGTAGTGGCTACTCGTTTGTTCATATGTAACAACTTATAATAAATAACTATTGCTCTACTTTTGGTATTGAGCCCTCTTTTAAATTAATTTTATGAATGTTTGAATTTATATTCTTTTTGTTCTCATTACATTTGGAGATATATACACACAAATTAAACTGTAACCAGACACTTGAGCTGAAATTTGACCTGAATATTTTTTTGTACTAAGTGACAAAGAGAGCAGTTATATTGAAAAGTCTTGTGCAAATTAAATGCTATGTTATGAACTTAAGAAACATAAAAAAATAAGATTCATATCAAAGTTAAGCTTATAAATGTATGAAGTTGTGAACTTATCATTCATGCTTATATATAATCATAATGTCACCAGCCATTTCTAGTCCACTGGAAGATGCAATGTGATTAGTCCTGACTTGGAGTCTCAACTCTAGTCACTTTCTTACTGATGTAATGTGGCTTCCCTCTGTCTTTTCTATAAATATTTTCATGGTATCTGCTCTGAAGAGCTATTTTCTCTGGTGCTCCGACTGCATGAATTTAAGCGTGCTACTAGGTTGGCATCTCGGTCCACCCTCTTACTGTTGAAACAGTTAAATGTAACTGTCTCTTCTACTCCAACAGCTTCTTCTCTTGCATTTCCCAACAATGGAACTCCCTTCCTCTTACTTGCTTCCCTGATAACTATAATCCTCAAATATTTGAATGTAATGACAATTAATATCTTCTGTTGTATTGATCCCCGTTCTTCTTTTTATCCTTTCCTTCCTCCCCCCCCCCAGAAACACCCAGTCTTTTCTCTTACTCACACTTTCTGTAGCCCCTTGTATACTAGTCGCACTCCTACCTTGCTTGGGGTGTAATGCATATATATATATCTCCTTGTCATCAGCCCTTTCTAAGACAAAAAAGCATTTCCCCAATGACTAAGACTGCACTATTCTCAGTCATGTCTTGTCTTGCTTGTATTTAAATAAATGAATAATTAAGATTTGGAATCCTGAATTTGAATCAAACTGACTTTATAAAATAAAAGATTAAAATATTTTTCTTTCCAGTTCTCATTTTCTCACCTGGTACATTTGCTCTCCATTTTATTCAAAATTGACTTGTTGTCTCTGTGACTATTATTTTTCTACTACCAAAGTTTTGCTAAAAGTTTATTTATGAAAACTGAATTCTTTATTAAAGTGATGCTGTATCGTTTTTTCTGAAAATAATTCCTTTTTATCAATATTTGATTCACAAACAAAAGTTGACTTATAAAAATTTACTATTGTCTACATTCTGACAACACGCTGTTAATCAATTATGATTTTGGGGTTTTACTTCCACGTTTGTTTATTGGGGTTTTTTTTTGTTTTATTTCTTTACATTGTCTGATAAACAAAGTTAATGCTTCTCTGTTGGCTTCTTTACAGACAGGATGATCTCCAATGAAGCACTGTTGACAGTTCCTCTTCTCCTTTTAGCAAATAAGCAAGATTTACAAGTGAGTTTTATTAACAATTTTTTGTAAAAATATGTATATGAATTACTCTTAAAATAAAAGCTTTTTCAGTTTTTATATTTTTGTAAGGAATTGTTAAAAATGATTATTTTAAAGCCTTTAAAATATGTCTTTGATAATACTGTCTGATTATATTAAGAAAAAAAAACAATCTTTTTTTTTTTCCTCTTTAACTGAAATCTACAGCCAGATTTTAGAGAAAATAGTTTCTTCAATATTTATGGTATTTTTATCAGGCTTTTTATTTTATTTTATTTTTTCCTTGCCTAAACTGTTTCAGTGGTTAGGAAAAAAGATCTTACTTATTATAAAACGCAGATTGTGTGTGTGTGTCTGTACGTTTATATATTGGATCGGATTTCCTACATTTTTCAACCGATTTCAACAAAACTTCACAGGACTGCGTAAAATTACCCTGCGGTGGTTCTGACAGTTCCAAAAATTGGAAAAAAACACAATTGTTTTTGTACAAAATCAATTTGAAAACATGATAAAACACAATTCTGTTGCCAGAATGGAAGGGGGACAACTCATATCGAGTTATACTTATTATAAAACCCAGGTTGATTGTGTGTGTTCCTTTATATATGGGATCGGATTGCCTACATTTTTCAACCGATTTCAACAAAACTTCACTTTTTTTTTGGCAGGTAGTGTTTCTTATTGTCTTGCACACTTTTTCCTTATTTTTACATTCAGAATGCTTTAAAAATTCCATTTACAAGACAATTGTTTATAATAAAATGCTATTCAATCGGTAGACTCATAACGATTGAAAACAATGTTTTTGTTTGAGTTTGGGTTTGACCAATTCATTAAAAAAAAAAAAAAAAAAAAAACTAATTAAGACATGCGTGTCCGTCAACCTTAAACAATAATCTTTGTCAATTTTATTTTTCAGTCTTTATGATGGTCGATACTTGATCTATCTCTTACTGTTACATCCCTGGGCAACGCCGGGCTCTACTGCTAGTATTGAATAAGAAGGCAGAACCATAAACATATTTAAAGAAATGCTGTGTACAAAATCATGCATTTGTGTGAATTAGAATCGGTTAATTACATATAGACAAATGTTCAGAAGAAACAGCAAGCAACTTGTCTGATCAGTTTGTGTAAATGGACAGCAGAATAAAGACAGGGAGGAGGGAGGGATGGTAAAGAGTCAAATATACCAAGGCTTGAAGTTAGGGAGAGCTATGATCATTTATATCATGAAGGGTTATGGCTTATAAAAAACCAAACCGCAGATATCATTTATCTTACAGTTTCATTCGTTTCCTGATTTTTCATTCTAAACTAGATTTCTTTTTGGGGTTCTTTTTACATGCAGTTGACATAACAGTTTAAATGTTAACTGTATGAATTGAACTTGCTATGTCAGTCTGTTTAACATTCTTGCTAACTATTATGCTATGGGGAAGCATCCAAAGCAATGTGTAATCTGGCACAAAACCACAAATGTGGGTCATTTATTGTGTATTAGACTCACTATAGTTCTAATAGTCATTGCTCCATGACAAGGGTCTTTAGTTTGCTGCAGTTTTTACATTAATTTTGAGTTTTTAAGAAAAAGTTAATTTTTTTTTTTTTTTTTTTTTTTTTTTGACATAATAATTTAGTGATAAAAGTTTTACTAATTAAACCATAGCTGGAGGGAGAAGAGTTAAATTCATACCTTTCCCAAGGGTATTTACATGCAAGTGAATATGACGAACCTAACTGAAATTGGCACCCCACTCTCTGATTAACAATCGTGAGCCATTATCACCCATCTAGGTACTTTTACTTTTTTTTTTTTAATCTGTGTCACCCCAAGCAAGGCAGTAAAGCCACTAAGACGCAAGGGGTTATAATAATGAGTAGAAAGAGAAAAGAGTATTCAGGAGGACAGTAGATATTGATTGACATTGCATTTAAATTCTTGCAGATTAAAGTTGACTGGAAAGCATGGAGCCTGGAAGGAGTTCCACAAGTGAGAGGTGCAAGAAACTGTTGGTGTAGAAGTTATGGCTACATCTAGCTAGCTCAACTTTAAACAGATGTGATCTCACTGCCAGTCTAGCATTGTACTCAGATTCAGACAGTCTAAGTACCAGAGCAAAGAGCTCAACTGAACAGTTACCATGAAACTACTTACAAAAAGGGCACAGAGAGGCAACCTTATGGCGGTGAGCGAGTGACTGAAGCCAAGCCACGAGATCAAGACCAATAATATTGTAGATTCTTCTTTGGATCTTATCAAGGGGCTCAAGGTAAATAGCAGTACCACCGAACCGTATATGGCAGCAATATTCTAAGCCTGAACAAATGGTGCATTTATAGATATGCAAGATAGATTCAGGAATTGTCTTCGTATAGCTGATGTAGAAATGGATTTGATATTAGTTTTTCCAAACTCCTGTCAGCTGAGAACATAAGCGTGAGAAGATGCAATGGGTCACTTTCCTGGAAGTTAGCATCAGCCGTGCTGATGGAAGGCAGTGAGAGGGGGGGGGACTCTCTCTCCAATGATTAATAGAGAGAAGTTTAGTTTTGGAGGCATTAAAATTGAACATATATATATATATTCAGTGTACTTGGGCAGCAAATGTTCTTTTAAACATGTACAAATATATACATATATAAATAAATACATTGTGTCAATCTAATATTTTCTTTAATTTACCTTTTTTTTTTTTCTAATGTACAAATAATCTTTTGTGAATGTGATTTTTGTCAGAGGTAATTTGTTTTTGGCACACACACATGAACAAACACATATATATATATATATATACACACACACACACTGGGTGCCCAGTAAAAAAAAAAAATGCAGCAAATTTATTATCACTGTTTTATCTTACAGGAATAATTGATCTTGAATAACCTTGAATAAATTTCTTTGAATATTCATGACCTTGAATAATCATTTGACTCTCGCATAGTTACTTAACACTGATTGGTTCTTTTATGATTGATTAGTTCTTGCTCGATCTTGGTCATTTTGTCTTCTTGTATGGCTGACCAACTTACCAATTTTGGGCATCAAATTATCATACTTTTCAAAGACAGAAATCCAACGGGATCGATGAAATGTGCAGAAATTTTTCCTGAATTTTTCAGTCATCACCAGTTTTCAGCAGTTGTCTAATGTCTCTAAATTTACAACTTTTCTTTTTTTTTTTTTTTTTTTATTGGGCACCCAGTGTGTGTGTGTGTGTGTGTATATATATATATATATATATATATATATATATATATATGGTGCAATGGATAAATTGAAATTAAATTAAGCTAAAATGAAAATAACACTGACATCTCATTTTAATAGATATATTTACTAAAACTACATAAAAATATCTTGAAATACTAAACAATATTCAATAAAATCACCGTTGGTTTCAACCACAGCCTCCAGAATGCTTCGGAATCTCCTGCAACTCTTCTGGACATTCTCCCTGTTTAAATTGATGAAGGCTGCTATAATCCTAGTCTTCAGTTTATCTTTGGTGTTACAAGGAGTTTTGTTGGTCTCTCACTTGACTTCGCTCCACACATAATAATCAAAGGGCTTGCAGTCTGTGGAGTTAGGTGGCCTAAAGTAAGTTGTTATGTGGTTGCAGAAATTGTCTGACAGCAATGACTAGGTTCTCTTGCTTGTGTGGCACAGTGCAGAGTCCTGTTGCCAGACATAGTCTACCAGCACTTGATATAGGCCTCTATGTTGAGTCTGAGGCACTATGGGAAGATGAATCAAAGCATAATGTTGCCTTCACTAGTGATCATGCCAAACACCTTTGTAATCACCATTAGGTTCATCCAACTCATTCCAAATCCTCTGCACTGTCCTCAGATTGACACCAAAACACTCTGAAATGTTCGTATTGGTATTTCCGGCACAAAATCCAAGCAGTAAATCATGCCTTTTCCAAATTTTTGGCAGAGTGAATTGCATCATGGTCCCCCTTTTTCTCCCAGACGATGCCCAACTGACCTTACTATACTGTGCAGTTGACAAAAACAAAAAACAAGCAACACATATGCACAAAATTAAAAAATATAAAATGATGACAATTTACCCATCGCACCCTGTATATATAATGTGTGTAATTTTTTGTTTCTTTTCCCTCTTAAAATTTAATTATTTGCTTTTTAACATTCAAACTCCCATTTTGACCCTCAGGGATGTCTTCCACTTGAAGAGGTAAAAAAACTTTTCAGTACAAGTCCTGCACTGATTGGTCAAAGAGACTGCAAGGCTGATGCAGTGTCTGCTCTGAAAGGGTAAGGCCACGTTTTGTGATATTTTGCTGTCTCGCCTTATGACACATACACTCATAACCAACTTAATATCAACTCGAACCCTGTACCAACTAAAAATAAAATTTATAGCAATAAGAAATAATTTCATATTAAAAAAAATCCTTTCTAAATTGCTCTAATATACATTGATTTTGACACTAAATAACCCATAAATCAACTATGATGGCTTTGTTCCATACTAATGTAAATAAATATCTACTGAATACCTCTTGAGCATCTCACTAAACACAATCTTAAATATAGTCACATTGTGTTTCTGTTGTAACACTTAATGTCACAATGTTTATTTAATTAAAGTCCTTCATTATCACTATGCAATGGTAACAAGCACTTCGTCTTAGAAAAATAATGTTTGGTGGTTTTCAGTCTTCTTATTGTACATTTACTTAGCATCTTTTGTTTTTCTTGGATTTGCAGGGATGGTGTGCATGAAGGAATTGACTGGTTAGTGCAGGCTGTACAACGCAACAGCATGAATCGACCACCCACACAGAAAGACATCACTTAGAATCAGTCGAAGCCATCCAAACAAACAGACAGACATTTACTTTTCCATGACATGAATGACAGACGGACTCCTGATTATCTTTCATTATTAAGCCACATATGCAGAATCTACTCTTCCAATTTCTTCTTTTAATTCCCCCCCCCCAGCCATTTCCTACCAGGGATTCTTTACTTTTTTTTTTTTTCTTCTCTCCTTCCCATAATTCCTTGCTGTCTTCTTCCATCTTAATTTTTTTTTAAATAGCATTTCTATGGCAGTTTTTTTTTAATGTTGGGTTAATTTTTTTTTTTTTTTTTTTGTCATACTTAAAGGTGGGTCATCAAAATGGGTTTAAAAAAATTGTCCTTTTTTTTTTATTTTTTTTTTTTACCTGACTTTATATTCTGAATTAAAAAAAAAAAAATCTTTGGCAGTGTTAAACATCTTTTTTTTTAAGGCTGCAGGAAACACACACACACATGCACTCACACGTATATATATATATATATATATATATATATATATATATATATATATATATATATATATATATATATATATATATATGTGTGTGTGTGTATATATATATATATATATATATATATATATATATATATACAAAAGACTCTGCAGACTGATTTTAATTTAAAAAAAACAAAACGTTGTAAAGTTGTGTCTATGAAAATGTACTTGATGGATCATTTCCCAGCATACTTCAGGGAAAAAGAATATTACTTTCCTAATCAGATTATAAAAAAAATAATTTTTTTTTTATGAAATTAACAAATGGTATATTTTTTTCTGCAGCCTTAACATTTTTTTTCTTTTTTCCAGCTATCCCAAATATAAAACCAGGTAAAAAGAAAAAAAACAAACAGAAACAAATACATACATACAATACAAACAACAACAAAAAAACACTTCCATTTGAGGGATCATCATTTCATTACATTTAATCATAATCATCTCTTTAGATAAGAATTTCCCTTCTTTTTTTGTCTCCGTTTGAATATTATCATCTTGCAGAAGATCCTTATTTTAGTTGACAGTTTAAGGCAATTCCAGATCATTTACAAAAAAATAATACACCCTGTCCCATAATGGTTGCTACACTTGGTGTATAGAATCTGCATCTAAATATAACAATTATTATTGGACAGAGATAGTACGAAATAACCACTTTGGCCAAAACTAAAGTTAACATTAAAAAAAAAATAAAATAAACCTCTCAACAATTTTCTATGGAAATTGTCAAATGGATTAACAGTGATAAACCATGTTGTTTGCTGCAGCATCAAGTGCAAGAGGCTAATTGGGCCTATTTCAAGGAGGTGGGCGCTGCCAAACGAACTCTTTTTTTTTTTATTGGAGCTGTAAAATAAATAAAGAAAGAAAATGAAAATTCTGGTGTTAATTAAAGTTTTGATCCTTTTTTATTTTTTTTTTTTTTTTTTTTTTTTTTTTTTTTAACATTTTTATAATGTTAAGTTAAAAAAGTCTAATAATACTCATCCATACATGCCAAGTGGTGTAACCGTTGCCAGTCCAGGAAACTGAATCAATGAATCAAGTCTAAATTTCAGCTGAGGTTGTTAACATTGCTCTCAGAAAAGGCATGAATCCACTTCTCCCTGCATTTTGTTTCATTGCCAGGTATCTTAACACACCTTTTCATTGACATGCCAGGATGGTTGGCAGAAAGAAAAATGAGCACATGGACAAATCACTCTCCCATAACTATCTTACTTTCCCAGTCAATAGCAGCTAAAAGCTCTTACCCTGACCAGGGCCAATAATGATAATATAAATTTGCTAGGATGCCTACAATGGGGTAATGGTTAACAAGCCAGACTCATAGACTTATTGTAGTGAATGATTGTCCCGTGGCCTTGTGCCAGACGAAGCTAATCACTAAATTTGCAATAAGGTAACATTCAGCTATTGAGCATTTTTAACCAAATTTTTATTTTTGTGGGTTTTTCTTTTTAATTTGTTTATCTTTAAGAATTCTCCCCCCCCTCTTTTTTTCCTTTTCCCTCTTTTTTCTTTTCCCCACTTTTTTCTTTCCCCCGTTTTTGTGTTCTCAGTCAATCAAACAATTTTTTTTCTTTTTAATGTCAAATATTGTTGAGGAACGTTTTGTTGACTGTAAATAAAATTTTTCTGGCCGACATTTAATTTTTGTCTTTCGTGTCAGTCGATTGCTTCATCATTTTGCCAATGCAGCCCTTCCTGAGATCTTGATAAGGATTTAATGCCTGATAATGACCACAAGAATTCACCCAAAGTTTTTTGTTTTTTTTTTCTAACAGACTGCTCATGTAAATGATAATATCACAAATAGGATTTATTAAACAGCATCAATGTGTTCGCTCATTTTAATGATTACTTTTAGGATGACAAGACCTTCAAGTAATTGGTGTGGGAGGAGATTGTGCTATAATCACAGTTGTCATCAAACAAATATTTACAATGCAAATATATTTCTAAGGATTTTCTTATAGATAAGCATTGAAAATCATGAAGAAAGCGATTGTCATTGGTCAAGAATTAATGTATGCATTACTGATAAAATAGGATTAGTACCAGAGAATTGGGTAACATTGTTAGGTTTTCCAAACTTTTGCTAACTTTTATAACCAACAATACATCCTATGGTTTCCATTTTTGTTTTAATAATGCCTGTAACTATACCATAGGTAATAATAGCCTTCAATTGGATCATAGACAACATATATTTTATGCTTTTGGTACATTTATTTGTTCTTCGTTACTCCAAGATAATAATTTAAAAAAAAAATTGACAGCATCATCCATTCAATAACTTGAAATATAAAAATTAATTCAGTGAAAAATGGACAGCCTTTGAAATCACATTTATCACAATGGATGCAATTTTCAAATCAAAACAAGTGCTGGATGGAAAAAGATGGCTTAAAAATTTTAAGAGTAGGTAATGTTAATATTTTAGTGGCCATCATTTTTTTTTTTTTTTTATCAACTCCAGAACTTGCAAATCAAAATGTCTTCTGCTCAGCCATAAATATTTATATGTTGAAAATAGCTAAACCAGTAAAAATTCAAGAAAAAGAGAAAAAAAGCCTAAACTATTTTTTTTTTTTTTTTTTTTTTTTAGTGGTTTGTTCACTGTCCAGGAAATTATGATAGGCTTTTTAGAGAAGAAAAGTTTTGAAATCACTGTTGTTTTTGTCAGTTACCCCACTTGACCGTATATTTGCTATTTTGACCAGCTGTGGTCATCTTGGTAATTATACTCATAATGTTTCAGTTGTTTACCCTCTGGCCTTCTTCAGGTGCCTGTCTTGATATATGATGGCCTATTTTTTCTTTTTTTTTTTTTTTTTTAAAGTTTGAAGCCAATATGTTAGGCTAAATTATTCATACATGTGTGAGAAATGAATATCATCTGGGAGCCTCTAATTAAGACAGGACAGACATGCAAAAAGGACCTCTGAGTTGATGGCTAGAGGTTCAAGTGGAGCACTCACATACAAGTGTTGGAGACTAGATATTTTGGTACTGTTTCATAAAACTGATGCTAAAAGACATCTTCCAAGTCGTTTAAATGTATACAATACCAATAAATTTATTTTAAAGAAGAAAAAAGAAAGTTTCGGAAACTTACTTCTACCAGCAAACAACCCCAAAATCTTTCTTCTATTGTAAAACCAGCCAGCTGAAACCAACTTGATTATCAACCTCACCAAAGTCATATTTGTTACTAGTGACCAAAAAGAGATTTCATATTCTAGTGCGACAGTAGCTTACAGCCATATGGCATTAAAACACCAGTTCTTGTACAATCACCAAAGTTAACCAGCATAGAGCTTGGTCAGTACCTAGGTGTGTGACCATTTGGGAATACCAGGTGCTGTAAGCTTGGATGTGTGGGTGGTGTAAAAGATAATGGCTCAGAATTGTTAATTGGTGTGCCAAGTTCCAATTCCAGTTGGGTTCATTAGATTCCCTTACACGCAAATACTCTCAAGGTAAAGTAGGAATCCACATCTTCTCTCCCGCCCTCCCTCCATCATTTGATTAGTAAAACTTACCACTAAACCATTAATATCTCAAAAAAATTCTTGCAATCTAAAAATATTTTCTGGCTTTAAATAACCTGCAATGTGTTGATAAGCCATCAAAAATGAATTAATCAGTATTGAAGAGGAGTATGTTCTCCAGAATTGTTGCAATGGGAAATGCACTCTTAAGGAGATAGTTGCCTTATCACTAAACCACATCAAACCGAGGGTCAACTATTATTGTCTATCTTATATATCTTCATAATATACAACACTTGCTCCCCCACCCTCTAAGCTTTTACAACTTCATTCAGTAACCCCCTTCTTTGAGATATATGACAATGATATAGATTTTTATATATCGAGAATAGTATGGAGGAAATTGTATGACAAAGTGGAAAATATTTACTTGTGATGCGTTTCAGATTTTATTGGGCTAAATTTTTTTATGTTGGTATGATTATACTTGCACACGACAAAGGGAGTGCTGGGCATTTTTGAAATTTATTTTTTATCAAGCCAAATTAATTTAGTTTTTTTTTTTTCTCTCTCTTTCCATCACTTTTGTAAGTAGGTATTCCACACCGTGATAGAAGGAATGGTGAAATGTTGTAAGAGCCAGGGTGCAAATTTACTGTAGACGACCTCACAATCAAAGTACTCTTTAGACATTTACATCGTAGTTAATTATTTTCTTCATTGATTAGAGTAGCATTTTTATATTAAAGTTGTGATCAGTCTCATTACGGTGGGTGACCAACGCATTTGATGTATTATTTTCTAAAATGTTCTTTTTGTGTTTATATAATCTTTTATTTAGATTCCTTGAGGTCTCTCCTATGTATTTTTTGTGACAATTATTACAGGCAAGTAAACTCCTCTTTCAGATTTTAGTTTGTTTTCTTTAGTACTGACTAAGTCTTTTATTGTTTTGGATGTAGTAATAACATTGTTGAGTTTCGATAGATTCTTTGATTGTAAATGTGATAGAATTAATAAGCAGAATAATATATTTTTTTGATTCATTAGATTTATCAGGAGGCGGGGAGGGGCATTTTTTTATTTTGGAATATTTTATGGGCCTTTTGTTTCACATTGAATATAAAATAATTAGGATACTAAAAAAGTTTGAAAGTGTTTTCAATGTATTTCTCGTCTTCGTGTAAATTGTCTGAGCTGCATATTCTTAGTACTCTTAGCTCGAATCCAATTATGCCGGATTTTATTTTGTTTTGATGGGAATAGAAATTTATTAGGTCATTTTTGTTGGTTGATTTCTGGTGAACACAGTTTTAAACTGTTATTAACTCGGTGTAGCTTGATATCTAGGAAGGGTAAGGAATTGTGTTCTTCCATTTCTTATGTAGATTCCATTGTCTTTTCGACTTTGTTAAGTTGATTTACTAGGTCAGGTAAATCAATATCACAAGGATATATCAGTAGATGATCATCAATGTAATGAAACTATGTTGTTTTGGTAAAATATTTTGGAAAGGATTGAATAAAAGAAATTCTAAGATACATGCTATCACTCTACTGTAAGGCAATCCCATTGGTAATCCAAATTTTTATTTGTAATAATTATTATTGAATGTGAAGTAGCATTGATTGGTGATGAGACAGCAGATATTTTTTTTTAGCTATTGGTAGAGAGTGCTTTATCTTTATGTTAAATGCTTTTTTAGGAGATTTAGGAATTTTTCAACTGGGACATTGGTGTAGAGGGATTTTATATCTAAACTGGATATGCATTTGTCTGTCAGTCATGCTCATTTCTCTTAGCTTTTCAACTCAGAGTTCTTTATACGAGATTGTTCCAAGGAGAGGGGTTAGAATTTTTGTTATGGCTTTTGGCAGTTTATGGGGGAGTGTTGTCTATTCCTGAGATAATGGGATGCATTGGGATACCATTTTTGTGGGTTTTAGAGAGACTGTAATGTTTTGGTATTCTGGGGTGATATTCTATGAGTCTAGAGAGACCCTTAATCACAAGGTCATCTACAGTAAATTTGCGCCCTGGCTTTGACAATATTTCACCATTCCTGATAGATCTTCTAATATCACAGTGTGGAATACCTATTTACAAAAGTGATTACATAATAATTGATGTTTACTGGCCTGGGTTTTCCAAGAGACTGATGAGACAGATCTTGTGTCTTATATAGAGGAAAACCCTATATGTCCCAATGTGCTTTTAAACTACTTAGCCACGAAGGACTTTATAGTGAAAGCAAGGCTCAGAGGACCCTCAAAGAAGAAAGTACATCTCTTATTAAGATGTTTTTGAAGCTCATATCTGTTAACTTATCATATCCAAGACAAAATAATTTCTAAGAAACTAATGGATTTTTAATTTGACATTTTTTTTCGCATTGCTATAAACATATTTGTATATTTACAAATTTGCTTCTAGATAAAGATAAGTGTGTATATTCGTTAACAGATATGTGTATTTATACACCTATAGACACCAGTGCCTAGGAGAATGATATGAAGGGGTTGGTCTTATTTAAGGCCTAAAAGGCACCTAGAAATTTCCTGTGATCTCAGGAAATGCATATATTGAAGATTAAGATTCATGTTTTTTACTGCTGATGGCATAAAACTATGATCGATACAAATAGGATAATTACTTGAGATTAAAAGCCCCAATTCTACCTGCAAAGAAACTATTTTCCTATTAAAATTCCACTCAGAGGCCACCCACACACACATACCTGAAGGTGGGAAGGGTAGCAGGTCTTTCTTTTACATGTTCTGTCCTTTGAAAATGTGGGCTACCATAACTCTGCACAACTTCTTATCCTTTGTAGCTCTTAGCAATAATTATTGTTTTTACTACACCCACCTAATATTTTAAAGCTTATATCTGTTATCATATCCAAAACATAAAGTAATTTCTATGGAATTAAAGGACTTTTTTTTAATCCCACATTATATCTTATTCCTTGGAATGTTATATTTTAATGAATAGCCATGTATTTGAGAGTCTTAGTAAAGTAAAAGACAAATGCACCCTCCAGCAGGATGTGTAAGGTTCGACAGGATCCCAAATCCTCCTACTAGGTGTGTGTGTTCTGACCAGTGTGTTAGTGTGTATTAAAGTATATATGTGCATAATTCATTAACAAAATCTTAACCTCTTCAAGTCTAGGTTGAACCGTTACCTATCCTCCACACCATCCTAATGTTCACTTCATACTTTCTTCACTTACGCTCATAACACACACTCTAACACTCTACCTTGAGTGGCTCATGGTTCTTGTATTGAGTGAACATTAGTACAAAGAAAGTAGGAGGCACGGTGGAGTAATGGATAGCGGCTCGGACTGAGGAATAGTCGAATCCATTACATTTCACTAATGCTAATAATACTCTTGTGAAAGTTATGAATCCTCTACTTCTCCCCCTTGCTACGGGTAAATAGCAGGACCTACCAATTTCTATAGCCTTGGATGGCAACTGTTCTGCCGAAGAAAAAAATGGAAGCCTTCTACGTGGAAAAATCTGCCTCGTCAGTCATGTATTGAAAGATACAGGATCGCCGAAGCGTGTATCACGCACGGTACATAACTGGCTGAGTTGCAAAATAAAAAACGTCAAGGGAGCTAACATTTTTTATATTTAGAAGAGTTACTTCCCTTGCAACGAACGTTTATTTTTTTTTTTTTTTCATTCAATGATTATACATCAAAGATGGGGAGTTGGCCTCTCGACGCATTACACCAGAAAATGGCATTAGCGATCTGAGTTCAAATTCCCATTAAGAAAGTTTATATTCACATTGAAAAGGCATAAATCCATTTCTCCCTGTAGGCTAAATCAGGGATTACTCCTTGCCGATGGTACCATGTAACCCAAACAATTGCATGTTATCAGAAGAGGAGATGGGCATCGCCAAACAATATTTGCCTATTTCGACAATTCATTTATTATATTGTTTATTGGAATGATTGACAAACATCAGGTAATTGCCAATCGATTGGAACTTTATAAAACGTGGATTCTGGCGAGAAAAAAAAATTCTGGCACGACGTTGCTTAACTTCGGTGATCGTCCAGGAACCGCTGTTTCAACGTGATATGGCCGTAAGCCTAACGCTAATGAGATTTTATAAAACAATTTTTTTGTTAGTTGGGATTACCGCTCAATTTTTTTCTTTTTCTTTTTCTTTTCTTCTTCTTCGCTCGCCAAAATTTCCAGCCTTTTGTAGTTTTTAGTAAATTTTGCCTACTTTCTATCTCTCCTAATCCCTGTTCTGCCATCCATTTAAACTAGTTCGTTGGGTCATTCACTATTTTTCGTTCTCCCTATTGCCTTCAATGTGTCATGCGAGTGTCAAATTTTCTAAACCCTCTTTCCTCATTATGTGCCCTAGAAATTTCCATTGTCTATTTCTGATATTAAGTATGTGTCCATTTTGTTTCCATTTTCTCTAAAACGTCGTCATTACTCACATGTTCAGTCTATGTTATTCTCAGCATCCTTCTGTAGAATCACATTTCTGTTGCTTCAAGTCTCTTCTTTGTCTGTGAGGAAACTGCCCAGTATTCACTGTCATATAGGAGGGACGATATTACATAACAATTCAGTACTCTTTTCTTTGTTTTTAACGAAATTTTCCTGTTTCTTATTTTTTTTAGGTTTTGAAAGGAATTTTTCACTGTCCCAAAGCGTCTTCAGATTTCATTGTTGCACTTTCCGTCCTCTGTTAAAATTCTTAAAATTGGTGTTTAGTCCTTTCTTCTTGCTTTTCTTCACTACTTTCTGCAGGAGTTCTTGTAGTATCATTTCTATGTCTTCTAATGAATGATTCGTGTCCTGGGTATGACGATAAACTACATCTACTTCCTGAG